GCTCAATAAATTATTATTTCACTTTTTTCATCTATATTTATTTTTGAATAAATCCAATTTCTTATCTTCATTTAAGAATATTAACAAAATACGTGCACACTGAAAAAATTTTTTTCTATCTCGGCAAACAATGCACATTTAAAACATAGCTGAAGTGATTTGCTTGAAGGACATTAAAACACACTAAATTATTTTGTTAATCTTGTCATGAACACTAAAAACTGCACTACTTTCGTGAAGCGAACACTAATGAGAACACTAAAAATGTTTTGTGATATGTTGAAAACAGTACACCATACATACATCAATTTTTTTGAAATGTTTGTCAATAATTATTTAGTTGCCATCTATACGTATTAATATAAATGGCCAGAGAAGTATTGAATTCTTTTTGCTTAACCTTAAGTTTTAGTTTAGTAACCAAAAACTTTAGTTTCTCCAACAACGCCACTAAACAAGCTCGTATAGGTCATATATGATTATTTATATTGTTTGCACATAATTTACAATTGATTAAATTAAAATTTATCAATTTATAGTTGCGTTATACATCCTTACTAAACCAATCTTATAGAAACGTATTTTATGCTATTTTTATTTCTGTGCTATTGGATCTCAATGTTATGTAGATAGCTTAATGAGTCTGTCAGTTGAGAATAAAAATTTTATAGTTTTATATGGCATATGTTTTAATCGCTTACTATTCTCTTAATGCGAATTTAATCTTTTTAAAATATCAGTTGTAGCGACATTGAGATACATCGGACCGGTTTAAATTCGCTCGTATATATTTCTTTACTCAAAGCTTTCTCCAGTTATCGAGAATAGATGCGAGTAAAGCGGCGAGAGGAAGATCTCTTGCTAAAAACAAGAAATAAACCGTCTTAATTAATTAAGTTTTATTGATGATTATTTTAAACTTCAGATTAGTTAGTTGAGCGGCGGATACGTGCGAGGTCTGTGATTGAGTATGCGCAGCGAAAATAATGTGTGATTAATATATTCTTTTTGTGGCATTTTGAAAACAATACAGAGTGAACATATTTTTCAGTAACTTAATTTGTTGAAATAAAAAATTTTGTTAACAAATATATGAATAATGTTTGTTAACTTTTGTTAGTAAACATTAACATTAAGCAAAATATTAATTTTTTAATATATAAAAATTGTGCATAAATGTGCTTTATTACTTATCTTGAGATACTTATCAACAAAGCTTGCTAAATCATTTTGTTCCTGTTGCTTTTGGTATATAGGAAAAATAAAAAAGAAGAATATTTAAGTAAGTCTATATAATATGATTGAACTATAAATAACTTGACATTTTGACGATCTAATCAGGAATAGATCGTATAATCAAGACATTTATTGTGTACTCGAGGTTTACGTTCAATAAATTTGTATATAAATGAAATAATATAATTGTCTAAAACATAAATACAATAAAAGTATTTAATAATATAAAATCAGTGAAAAATTCTGTCAACGTTATTGTGCATTTGACGATCTAATCAAAAATAATTTTCAATTTATATAGTATATATATATTGCACTACAAAAATTGTATTATGAGAAGATTTTTAATAAAACATATATAATTAAAGTTTTTTATAAATTACAAACAATTATTACTATATAAGAAAATTTAGCTGGTGACTAATTTGTAAAAAGGTACTGAATAATCAAAAATTATACATATTTCCCAATGTATAAATGTTGGGTTTTCACCAGACCCATTTAGTGTTTATTTTAAGCGACTTATAATTATTTGACATCTAATTTTTTTGATAATGTATGTTTTTATAGAAATATTTTTATTTGTTGTTTCCAAAATTTTTTTATTACTTTCCTTTGTTGCAATTTTATTGTTGAGTGGTACTTTGACTCTTGTTTATCTTAATGAATATATTTATTTTATAAATGTAAATTAAGACATATCTTTTCATTCGATCGATATCAAAGTTGAGCACTGTCTTGATATGTGATATAATTAATCTAAATTTAGTTTAGTAGAAAATATGTAGTGTGATTTTTTCGATGTATGTTATGTCAGAAGTTATTATGACAAATAATGTCGACTTTTGTGCTTTTATACCTATGCACTGTGTGTAAAAAATATCTGGAATTTATATATACAAATTAAAAAATAAATACTTAATGTACACATACTCGTAATATATTAAAAATATATAAATTACAATTAATGTTGTCATTCCAAAAGGAAACAAAAATAACTTCAAAATTAAAGGTCCAATGATTCCATTGTGACTCATGGAATGATCTTGGAGGGCAATTTCAATTATTAAAAATACATGTCCTAAAAATTTATCGCGTAGTGAAGCTAAAGCAGGGTTTATTATTTGGTCTGTTGATTGTTTCAGTCTCTTTTCCATTGTGATTAATGGAATAATCTTGGAGGACAATTTAAATTATTAAAAATATAGTTCCACGAAATTTATCGCGTAATGAAGCTAAAGCACGGTGTATTATTTGACCTGTTGATTGTAGCAGTCTCTTGTTGAAACCACATTTTCGCCAGTTCCTTATCTATAATTTCATTTCAAAAGATTCAATAATTTGATAGGTACGTGCCTGAAGAAATCATCATACTACAGTGATTGATAGGAACTTTTTTATTTGTTCATTTTTTACAAAAGTTACAAAAATTTACCTGAGTTTTTATATTTTTGGAATTATAAGATGGCTTTAAATATTATAATAACTTAAATTAAAATATAGTATAAACTTAAAGTATCCAATGATTAGCTATTTCAACATATAAGAAAAAGACATATCATTTACGACCACGTAGGTATAATAAGTCGTGGAAAAGGTTAAAGTCGTAGTTATAAAAACCTTATCACATTGAAAACTTTAAAATATATAAATACTTATTTGTGTCCTAAAATACATTTTTCATTTTTTTATTATCAAATAAATGGTTGCAGCAAAACCTTACACAAACAGTAAAATCCCATTTAAATTATTTTTCATAATATGGTAATTATATTTTCAAATTTATATATAGAAACAATAATTATATATTTATTGTAAAAATAAGCTACAATTGTATACTCGTTAATTATACTAAGGATTCTTAGTTAGAATGCGATCGAATGATTTTTAACATCACAGTATTGTTTTTTTGAAAAGAATGTGTGACTCATACAAAATTCATATTTATTTATGAATTCAAGCAAATAAAAAATCTCAGAATATTGTATTATAACTGCACTTAAGTGATACAAGAAGATTTTTGTGTGCTGTTTTGAATTTCCGCAATAAATCAAAAGTATTTGTAATAACAAATATTTAAGATTCAATACATGATTCCAAAAAGTAACGAGAGACTGCATCTGTGCCATAAAATGGATAATGTACATGTATATCTTAATATGTGAGGATTTAGTTTTTCGATTAGCAAGATTGTTTTTATTGTTTTTGGAGTGAATAATAACATGACATACAAACATAAAAAGTTAACACTAGAGATTTCCAATTATAAAGTATTTCCTTGAACCCCTATCACCTACGCAGTTAGTGCTTAACTTAACTCATAAGTAAACTCTTAAATTGGAAACGCTCTTATAGTACCAACCATTTTGGACATTTTGGACATTTGGACATGACATTATAGTTTTGACATATTAACATGAGTAAGCGTTAGTAAGATTTATGGGCTAGTGGAATTATAAGTCTATATTGTTTGAAAGATGCTATGAATGTTACAAATAATTGAGAGGTAAAGATTATTATAAGTAAAGATTATTCTTTATTTAAATGGTGTTACAGTGCAACTGGTTTATTTTACAGCACGCGACACAATCAGAATATTGCAAAAAAAGATCTCACCCTTCTGGATATTTTAAGTCGTTGGTCTTCTTAAATAAATAACAATGGATATTAATTTACTTAGAAGTCCAAATGCTCAGAGTTTAAAAAGTTCTAACAAAAGTATGCGAATAATATTTCGCATCTATGACCAAAACTATATTTAAACATTAACAGCAGTAACGGCAAAATATTTTAAAAATGGTTATTGTAATTGTCTTTTTTTATTTTAATTTAAAAACTTGACTTCTAAAGTAGCTATTTTCAAAAAACCTTTTAGCCCAGTAAATAATTTCTCGGCTAATAGGAAAATACTCTAAATTGATTTATTATTTTCTCATTTCTCATATGTATATAAAGACTCATGTAAGAGGGTAGTTTTTGAAAATTAAATTAAAGTTTAGATGAAAACAGTGATTGTGTTTACATTATATGAAAAATTAATAATATAAATTTGAAATCTATTTGAAATCTATTATAAACAATCTGAATTCGGATCATCTAGTATAAAATGGTCTGAACTTTCCCAGGAGGGATTAAACCTAAAGATCCCTCTTGTATACGCCACTATTAGGAAATGTTCACAATATTGCAGCATTTATGATTGCATGTCAATTAAGTTATCTTCTAAAATACTATATACTATAAACCTTTTTTTTAATTAATTAATTTTCGACTAAGTATATGTAAATATAAAATTACAGCTAATAAGAAAATTAATGTTTTATAGTAGATAATACAATACAATATTTTTTGTTGCTATTTTTAAATCAAAATTGTTTGTTTATATTTTGTATTGATTTTATCTTTAACCAGTGAACATCTGCCGCGTTTGACAAGAGTTTTTTTTATTTATTGATTATTAAGTGAATACTCTCTTAGATAATTTAAAATAATTTTAATTAAAAACCTTGAACCTCACATCAATTCATGAGTTTTTATATAGTATAATAATAATGATTTACTCGCATTTGTTAGGCTCTCTTTTGATATTGAATAATTTTTTATTTTCATTGAATATAATTTGAATATTAGTCAAATTTAATCTATTATAAAATATTATAATATGATTTATAAGTGTTCAAATATTTGGAGAATTTTTGTTTTATATACTAATATAGAAAGATTTCTGATTTTTTTTTAATTTAATTAAATTTTAATAGGTTTAAAAATATATTAACTGCAAAAAAATGTTTAAAACTTTTTCGAAACTACAATCCATTCAACATTTTCGACGCCTGTATATAACAGCAATAATTTTGATAGCTTTGCACCATGTCGCAGCTCAGAGATTATATGGTAAGTATATTTACAATATTTTCATATAAATTTAAAACTTGATTGAACTGTATATATGTAATTGGTTTTATTGATAAAATTAACTATTGTAATATAAATGGTTTATGCTTCTGCGAAAGACACAACATACTTAATCGTCTAAATCCTTTTTCCTTTTTCCTTTTTCTTCCTAACCAAGTTCCATCAATTTGTAGACAATCATTAATGAAGTAAGCGATCAGACATTGTCATTATAGAACACAACCCACTTTTGGTTGTTGCTCCTTAATGTTTGCATTCAAGCTGTCTAGTTGTGAGCAGTAAACGATATTAATAATCGTTTACCTATATCGAATTGCCTATATCGAGTGAATTCCGTTCCAATCCCACGAAACACATTGTTTGTCGTCAATCCAGGTCTTAAAGTCGTTTATGAGCGGTCATCGGCTTTTGTCGGTGATCGGTTGCGGTGGATATTATAGTATTTATTCTATTTCCCATTGTCCATAATGATTCCTTTCAGAAATGATTTGATATTGTTTTAGCAGCGTTTACAGTTCGGTCAATCAATTGTGTGTTGAGTTTGACATCTTTTATTTGTTTATGAATTTATTTCTATTAAAACAATTAACAAGATTCTTTAATGTACTTTTATAATGTATTTAGTTTTTGCTTACATTTATTTCTTTTGAAATTAAATTGTTTCTTAGACTATTAATAATTTAATTTGCATAGAAGGAGATACGTGTGCCATAAAGTCAATAGGAGGTGTTTGTACTTTAGCATCCAAATGTACAACTCTAGAGACTCTAATCAAGCAAAAACAAATCACATCTTCAGATATTTTACGCTGTGGATATGGAATATATGAGGAAATAGTATGCTGTCCAATTATTCGAACCAGAGGTCAATCAGAGTAAGTACAAAAAGTATTTGATAAGATTATTAAATTGGTTCCTAATAATAGGCTTTTTTTGAAATATCATTTTTATATATATTGAGAATGTTATAAATATTAATATTATATTACTTAATATAAAATTTATATGTCATAATAATATATTAAAATTGATGACTTTAAAATATTTATGTTACGTATATTTTATACCAGAAATGTGGGAGAGGTTTATTAAATTTTTAAAATCGTAAAGGACACTATTTCCTTCTAACTGTCTGAATGTTAGTCATCTACTTCCCTAATCGTTTATTCAATAAATTTGGAAATAGAGTTTTCGTGAGCACAGATAGATAACGTTAAAATATTAATGAAATAGCAATGGTAGAATGGTAAAAGAATAAAATGATTATATACTGCCGTTAGCAAATGATAGATTATTTCAAATTAGCGGCTTTTTTTTCTGGCAACTCTTTTGTTTAGTGCGTAGTTCCAAATTTTTCGTGTCGAATTTCATGTCAATAATTGCATATATCCTATAGCTAATAAAATTTTGTTTCCGTAATGAAACCTCTGCTGTTGAGAATGTTACCAAAAACTTTCGATGCTAAGGCTATATCATGCTCACAAATACTATAAATAATATTCATAGAAGATTAAAAAAACATTTAAGACAAAAATGTTCTAAAGGAACATCCAGATCAAGATACCCGCGTACAAAATAAGTACCAATAAAATTAAACATATAGTAAACATATATTGATGTGCCATTTCAGGAAAATTTGCTTTTATACAAAAAAATATATTTGAGCATACAATTGGATGTAATGTTATAAGTTTATACTAAATATTAGGTGAATGAAGCCTGGAAAGAAGCATAGTAATAAAAGTTCCTAAGGACATTCGTTGTCTCTTCGATATAACCTTACTCACCAATTACTTTTCCTTGAAATTCAATTTTAGAACTTTTAAACTGATTTACAAGAACAAAACAGAAGTACCTAAGACAATATAGATTTAAACAGTACATTGGGCTATATATTGGGACTGCGCTACAGCCACTTCTGTAATTTGCGTTTCTCAGCGCTTGAAAAAGAGACACTTACACATCTTTGTTCTTGAACTTACTGTGTAATACATTCAAATAGAAATCAGGCAAATATTTGCATTTGTTAATTTGTTAGATTTGTTGTTAAACTTTAAGTTTTGTCCGACAAGATTCTTAAATAGGATTTTGCCTTCTTTCACTTCACTTGGCCAACTAATTAGTAGTACCTTTGGAACAAAAGTTTTGTCAGAAGCGACTTTAAGTTTAGAGAGATCATTTCACATCATTTAATAGCATTTTAAATAATCTATAATATACTAGATATTAAAACATATATATTTAATTTAAAGCAATTAGTAATATATACATAGCTTTGAAACAAATGTTTATGCAAAATATATGTCTTTGAAATTATATTAATTTTGCATTTATTATTTTGCTGAATTTCGTTGAATCGCTAAATAAACAAATAATATATGATATATACTTTTTTTCATTATTTTTAGCACAGAAACAACCACTTCGACTACATCGACTACTACTACCACGTAAGTTTTTTTTTTTAGTTTTAAAAGTTAAATGTGATTTTTATGAATTTCATTTTTCACAGCATCCGGACAACTCCAACTATATCAACGTAAGATAATTTTAGAAAATTAAAGAAATAATTAAATTTGTTTCGATTTGTTTAGCACTACAACCAAAACACCAACATATATCATAACCACTCCAACTCCAACTACAACAACGTAAGATCATTTTTCAAAATTTTAGGAATAACTTATAGTAATTTGTTGTGATATTTTTAGTACTACTACCAAAGAACCAACACATACTATAACCACTACAGAAAGCTATTCAGAAACGCCAGCTAAAAAAGGTAAAATATTAAAAACTGTTAGATGCAAATACAAATATTGAATTAAATCTTTCATCAAATATTATTAAAATCACTTACTCTCACATCATTTAGTAGCATCTTAATAATATATACTAGAGATTGAAACGTATATCTTCTTTCTTTCTTAATCTAAATTAATAAAATATTTTCATTCCGCTAAAAAATTTATCATCACTAACCCCCAAGCACAATTTAATTTTGGATTGGTTTGTTAATGTAAGTAGAAAGATCTTTATTATTTAAACAACTTAAAATACCAAAACGATAATATGAATTATTAAATTTAGCACTCCAGTACAAGTGCTCTCCAGTAGCTTTAATTCGATTTCAATGATTCTATATAATATGTAATTCTGAATTTAAAGCTTGCAATATTATTGAGGCAAATGGACCTGATACAAATGAATTAGACGACAGCGAACAGATTCTAACGCAGGGAGATTTTCGATTTGTTGGAGAAATTGGTTTTAAAATTTTAGATAAACCATTGGAACCGGTATCGTATGAATGTACCGGAACATTGATTAACTCAAAATTTGTTCTAACAGCTGCTCATTGTTTTAATAATCGCAGTAAGGAGGCAACAATGGTTCGGTTTGGTATAACAAATTCGTTTCATGAGGAACAAATGACAGATGCAGTTTATGGAGAAATAAATGTAAGTACCACAAAACAAATAAAAACGTATACATTATGAAAAATTATATTCTACAGATAATTCACTTACATCCAAAATATACACCAGACATTTCATTCCACAACATTGCTATTGTTGAACTAAACAATCCAATATCATATACCAAATATGTATATCCGATATGTTTAGAAACAGAATATGATGACTCAACCGAGTTAAAGCTAATGGTGTCATACTGGCAGCCTGGAGCAGTTAGAGGTAAAATTGTTTATACTTCTCTTATTATTTCAAGTTCTCTATATTCTTTTGTTATACAGATAAAAATTTCAAATTCTTGCTTAGAGCTGTTCAAGCGAATATATCCTTAAGCAGTTGTGAAAATAGTTATATCGCAAATAGTGCAGCTAGTCATATGGAGTCTGAACTTCGTCGCACACAAATGTGTACCGAATTTACAATTTTTAACCAAAAACTTTGCATTAGTGCCAATGGTGACCCATTGTTGACATTGGACTCAAACAATAATTATCGGGTACTTGGTATATTTTCTGGTGCAAGCAAGTGCAACACAAATTCTGTTACTAACTTATTTACACGGGTCGATGCATACATAGATTTTATTGAGCGTATAGTCTGGCCTCAAGAAGTGTTATCATCTCAACATAAGTAATTAAAACGTTTTACTTTTTATTACATTACTCGTAGTTTTAGAACTTAACAACAAAAAATTGGTAAATATTTAAAATTAGTTAGTAATTATGGATAATTCGATTTCAGTAAACAAAAGAAAAAATTAATTGATACTAAATTTTTAACAGTTTAGGCAAAAGAATTCGAAGTTAATAATGAAACTTACCTTCTAATATATATTAATATATATATTAATTAATATATCAATATATAGCAAGGTATCACTTCTGTACATTGGTTCTAAACTATAGAGGATCAGAATACTGTCACGATTGTCTAAAAATATTTATATATGCAAATATTAATTATTTTATTTCTATATTATATATATTATATTTATATATATATTGTATATATATCTATATTATATTTTGTAAGGAAAGCTTTAGAGTAGTGAAACTAAGTTCTTTAATATTTTATTATTTTATTTAGTTTTCAAAATTTTTATCTTTATATATATAAGAAACTAATATAAATTTATTTTCTTACTTATAGTGCCGAAACGAATATTACTACTGCCACAACCATGTAAGTTAATTTTAGGATTGAATGATTCATTTAATCTATATGAATTTTATTTCCCATAGCACACAGTCAAATTCAAGTATCAAAATCGAGACAACAATAGTGTTGTCTATAAATTAAACTTAACTCAAAACTATTTTATCTTACAGTAATATTTTAAAACCTATCATCCTTTATTATTTTATTTACTTAATAAGATATAAATAAATACTCTAACATAAGATATAAAGATATATGAAAATTTGTCGCTTTTATACTTCTAGCATTCAGAGTACGACAACTATTGCCACGTAAGTCTTAAAAATATTACTATTTGAGCCGATATATTAAATTTAAACGAATTATTTTTTACAGCCCTTACATAATACCAACAACAACCACGTAAGATTGGTATATTTTTAAATTAAAATTATGAATGCAGTTATATTCTATATTTTAGCACTATTAAACCCACGACTAAAGAACCGATACCTACGTTTGATGATAATTTTTCAGAACGATCAGCTACAAAAGGTAAGACATTACGTTTTCGTTATATTTTGGCCCAGGCCCAGGTTGTGTGCTGTTGTCCTCCTTTTTGGACGCGGTTTATTTAATGCTCATGATTTTTTTGAAAAAATAGCTTTCGTCTTATGTTATGTTTCGTCTTATGTCCTATGATAAGGCCATACCGTCTCAGTTTATTTTCTAGTACCTACACAAGATTGTTTAATCGTTGATTAATATAATTGGGACTCAGTGTGACTCAGTAACGGTTTCATCAAATAGTAAAAATAAGTATTTTGTGACATTTCGTTGCTGCTTAAGATACGTCTCCATTTGTTTAGTTTTGGTTTAAGAGCATCAAAATATTTTACTTTTATATTTAAATTCTTGAAAATATAATATAAAAAATTTAAACTCCAATATCACAGTCATGTTTTAGAACTTAAATAGTAGTGTTATATGTATATTGATAATGAGTCAAGATTTTTTTATAAATACGAGTAGAAAGATTTTTACCTTTTAATTAGATTAAAATATCAATGTGACATTATGAGGATTTATATAGTTGCATTTTCAGCAGTAATTTGTATTAACAAGTACTCATATCCTATAATAATTTTACATATTATTACCTAATTTATAGCTTGCAATCTTATTGAAGCAAATGGACCTGATACAATTGAATTAGACGACAGCGAACAGATTCTAACGCAGGGAGTTTTTCGATTTGTTGGAGAAATTGGTTTTAAAATTTTAGACAAACCATTGGAACCGGTGTCGTATGAATGTACCGGAACATTGATTAACTCAAAATTTGTTCTAACAGCTGCTCATTGTTTTAATAATCGCTATAAAGAGCCAAGAATGGTGCGGTTTGGTATAAGTAATTCGAATCAAGAGCAACTGAAGAATGCAGTTTATGAAGAAATAGACGTAAATATAATAATACAAGAGAAATGTTTAAATATTTTTTAAAACTATATTTAATTGTACACAGGTAATACATGTTCATTCAAAATATATATTCAACACTTCATTCCACGACATTGCGATTGTTGAACTTAAAAATCCAATATCAAATACCAAATATGTATATCCAATATGTTTAGAAACAATGTATGAGGATTCGATGGATTTGAAGCTGATGATGTCTTACTGGGAAACTGGAACGATTTCAAGTAAATATTGTTTGCTTATTACCTTTTCGCATTTTTTTACTTTATAGTTTTTAATCACATATATCTTTTATTATATAGATACAAATGTTACATTCTTGCTTAAGGCTAATCAAGAAGAGATATCTTTAAATAGTTGTGAAAATAGTTATATCGTAAGTGGTGTACCTAATCACATGCAACAAGATTTGCAAGATACACAAATATGCACAAAATTCAAAATTCCTGAACAAGAATATTACATTAGTTCCAATGGTGACCCATTGCTGACATTGGACTCAAACAGTAATTATCGGATATTTGGCATATTTTCTGGTGCAAGCAACTATAACTCGGCAAATTCTTTAACTAATTTATTTATACGGATTGATGCATATTTAGATTTTATCGAGCGTATAGTCTGGCCGGATGAAATACAATCATCGCAACACAAGTAACGTGACTTAGTTTTATTTATTAAAATTATAATTTAAATTTTGGATTAAATCTTAGTGAATATTTTTAATTTGCTTATTAGTTAGTTAATTATCTGTTTATTAGGTATAAGATTATTTCCTTAGAAAAAAATATAAATTTAAATGCTGACGCGCATTTACTTTAAAATTTAGTTTCATAAAAAAAAATTTTATCAACCTTATTGAGAATTTGAAATTAATATACAATCATACAATTTTTATTCTAATATATATAATTTATTAACTTTGTACACTGAAACTGAATTCTAGTATCAGAATTTAATACGTTCCTTACGTCACGTTTTAAAAAAAATTTACATGCAAGTGTTAATTATTTTATGTTAATGTTATTTATCTAAGATAATATTTTAAATCTGGTCCATTGAGAAGATTTTTAAATTGGTTTATGGACTATGATCATTGTGAATCACCATAAAATGTATATCTTGGATAAGTCCATTGATTTTTATGGATTTTTATTAACTGAAGATTTATTTCTTTTTAGTATTAGTATTAAATTAAAATAATAAATTAAATTATCCTTATATTTTAGAACTTCAACTACAGAACCTTCGTATTTTAGCACTATCAAAACAACAACTATAGAACCGACGCCTATGTCTACAGTAAACTTTTCAGAACACTTAGCTACAAAAGGTAAGATATTTGGTTTTTCTTTCTAATATAATTTATATGACTGAACTTTTAAACAGATCTATAATAATTTATGTGTGTCTTTAACTGTTTTTCATTGTCACTCATTATCTCTTCAGCATATGTTTAAGCAACTTTGGTCTGTATTGTCTGAAGGTGTCAGTTCTGTGTTGTCATATTATCTCTTCTTCTTTACTTTTAAACCGTTTTTATTTAAGTTGCATGCGGACACTTTCATTTTCTTGGCGGTTCTTTATTGCTCATGATTTTTTTTGAAAGAATGGCTTTAGTCTCATTATATTATCTGAAAATATCTTAGACTGTTTGCTTGTAGATTATCGGTAATTGGAGAAATTATCATTGAATTTATAGATTTTTTCATATCAAGTGTTTTTTTGGTTGCATGATAACTGAATATGATAATATAAGACACTAATATTATTAGAATGAAACCTTGTCTATTATAATTGGTAGATAATTTTATGGCATTAATTTTTTGAATACGACTTTCGACATGTGTCTGCCGCGGCAACGAGTTACATGGTTCATTTGATCAGTCCAATTTGTGACTATTTTTTTTTATAAATGTGACTGTATGACATCAATGGTGACATGAATATTGACTTCCAATATTTTAAGACTTGCTGGTTTGTCGGCATAAAGCAATGACTTAACATAACCCCATAAAAAGGTAATTGTTAAAGAGAGTCATTAAATGGCACGAACCAGGAGGCCAATTAACAGTACCACTTCTGAAAAAAAAGTTTTTACTAAATTGATTTCACAATAAAAAGATTGCTAAGCGCATTATATGACAAGTTGCACCGTCTTGTTGAAATCAAATGTTGTCAATGTTAAATTTATTAAATTCTAGAAACAAAAATTGGGTCAGCATGACTCGATAGCGCTCGCCATTCACCATAACGATACATTCTTCCCCATTGCGAAACAAGTAAGGATCGACGATACCATCAGCATGTAAACCACGCTAAATAGTCAATTTAAATGGATGTAAGGGTGATTTGTTAACAGCTTGAGGATTATCGCCGGTCCATATATGGCAATTTTGCTTATTGACGTAACTATTTGATCAGAAATGAGCTTCATAACTAAACGCTATTCTTCGTCAAATTGTTCTATGAACTTTGCAAACAGATTTATTTTTCTCAAAGAAAATTCTCACAATTCGGAAGAATTGTTCTAGCGTTAAACGATTTATAAATTACTAAACCTTACTGAACAGAAATGTCAACACAGTTTGATATTCGATATCGACAGCTGCAAATTTATTGATATCCATAGTTCTCATGTGGCTAAAAAAAATCTCATATATAGGCACATTCTATCACAGAATAGACCAAATCTATTGGCATTAACATAAGTGAATCTAATGATTTTAATAAAGGCAGGATCCATAAGTTAGGCTATGCTTACAAATTTAATGAAGTTACAAAGTTATGTGATAAGAAGTCAAATGTTTAATGTTTAATATATATAAATATTACGTAATCCGTATTTTTAATTTGTGTTTGATAGTTCAGTTGGGATGGTTCTTTTAAGTTGCTTAAAGTCTCTTTTGTAATCAGTATTGTAAAGTTCCTTTACTACGTACTCGCATCTTCAGTGGCTATTTATTTTTAGAGAAAAATGTATTCGAAAATAATTCACTAATTCTTTTTTAATTAAAAGCTTGCAATATTATTGAAGCAAATGGACCTGATACAAATGAATTAGATGATAGCGAACAGATTCTAAAGCAGGGAGATTTTCGATTTGTTGGAGAAATCGGTTTTAAAATTTTAGACAAACCACTGGAACCGGTGTCGTATGAATGTACTGGAACATTGATTAACTCAAAATTTGTTCTAACAGCTGCTCATTGTTTTAATAATCGCAGTAAGGAGGCAAGAATGGTTCGGTTTGGTATAACAAATTCGTTTCATGAGGAACAAATGACAGATGCAGTTTATGGAGAAATAAATGTAAGTACCACAAAACAAATAAAAACGTATACATTATGAAAAATTATATTCTACAGATAATTCACTTACATCCAAAATATACACCAGACATTTCATTCCACAACATTGCTATTGTTGAACTAAACAATCCAATATCATATACCAAATATGTATATCCGATATGTTTAGAAACAGAATATGATGACTCAACAGAGTTGAAGCTAATGGTGTCATACTGGCAGCCTGGAGCAGTTAGAGGTAAAATTGTTTATACTTCTCTTGTTATTTCAAGTTCTCCATTTATTTTTGCTATACAGATAAAAATTTCAAATTCTTGCTTAAAGCTGTTCAAGCGGATATATCCTTAAGCAGTTGTGAAAATAGTTATATCGCAAATAGTGCAGCCAGTCATATGGAGTCTGAACTTCGTCACACACAAATGTGTACCGAATTTACAATTTTTAACCAAAAACTTTGCATTAGTGCCAATGGTGACCCATTGTTGACATTGGACTCAAACAATAATTATCGGGTACTTGGTATATTTTCTGGTGCAAGCAAGTGCAACACAAATTCTGTTACTAACTTATTTACACGGGTCGATGCATATATAGATTTTATTGAGCGTATAGTCTGGCCTCAAGAAGTGTTATCATCTCAACATAAGTAATTAAAACGTTTTACTTTTCATTACATTACTCGTAGTTTTAGAACTTAACAACAAAAAATTAGTAAATATTTAAAATTAGTTAGTAATTATGGATAATTTGATTTCAGTAACAAAAAAAAAAAATGAATTGATACTGAATTTTTAACAGTTTAGGCAAAAGAATTCAAAGTTAATAATGAAAGTTATCTTCTAATATATATTAATTAATATATCAATATATATCAAGGTATCAATTCTGTACATTGGTTCTAAACTATAGAGGATCAAAATACTGTCAGGATTGCCTAAAAATATTTATTATATGCAAATATTAATTATTTTATTTCTATATTATATATATTATATTTATATATATATTATATATATATCTATATTATATTTTGTAAGGGAAGCTTTAGAGTATTGAAATTAAGTTCTTTAATATTTTATTATTTTACTTAGTTTTCAAAATATATATCTTTCTATATATAAGTAACTGACATAAATTTATTTTCTTACTTCTAGTGCCGAAACGAATACTGCTACTGCCACAACCATGTAAGTTGATTTTAGGATTGAATGATTCATTTAATCTATATGAATTTTATTTCCCATAGCACACAGTCAAATTCAAGTATCAAAATCGAGACAACATTAGTGTTGTCTATAAATTAATCTGAATCAAGAACCATTTCATCTAACAGTATTTATTTTAAACGCATCATTCTTTATTAGTTAAGTTAGATATGTACTTTAGAATAAGATTTAAAGATATATGAAAAAAGATTTGTGGCTTTTTTATACTTTTAGCATTCAGAGTACGACAACTATTGCCACGTAAGTCTTAAAAATATTACTATTTGAGCCGATATATTCGATTTAAACGAATTATTTTTTACAGCCCTTATATAATACCAACAACAACCACGTAAGATTGATATATTTTTAAATTAAAATTATGAATTCAGTTATATTCTATATTTTAGCACTATTAAACCCACGACTAAAGTACCGATACCTACGTTTGATGATAATTTTTCAGAACGATCAGCTACAAAAGGTAAGACATTACGTTTTCGTTATATTTTGGCCCATTATCTCATTTATATTTCTCTAAAATCGTGTTCATCCAGGTTGTATGTTGTTGTCCTCCTTTTCGGAGGCGGTTTATTTAATGCTCATGACTTTCTTGAAAAAATAGCTTTCGTCTTATGTTATGTTTCGTCTTATGTCTTTTGATAAGGCCATACCGTCTCAGTTTCTTTTCTAGTAACTATACGAGATTGTTTAATCGTAGATTAATGTTGAATAATCATCAATAATTGGGACTTAGTGTGACCAAATGGTAAAAATAAATATTTTGTGGCATTTCGTTGCTGCTTAAGATACGACTCGATTTGTTTAGTTTTTAGTTCAAGAGAATGAAATGGGTCTTGAATAAAATTTAGATTGCAGAAGGGAGTTTTGTTTTGGATATACGCTCTCAAGAAGTCTAAATGGTGTTAAAAAGTAATGAACTTAAGTAGTAGTGTTACCTATATGTATATTGATAATGAGTCAATTTACTTTAGATATTTCTTTATATATATGAATAGAAATACCTTTTAATTAGTTTAAAATATTATTGAAGATTTAAGTAGTTGCATCTTCAGTGGTAATTTGTACTTACAAGTAGACTTACAAGTATCCTATAATAATTTTACTTATTATTATATAATTTTTAGCTTGCAATTTTATTGAAGCAAATGGACCTGATACAATTAAATTAGACGACAGCGAACAGATTGTAACGCAGGGAGATTTTCGATTTATTGGAGCAATTGGTTTCACAGAGTTCAACAAAGAATATGAACCGGTATCGTATGAATGTACCGGAACATTGATTAACCCAAAATTTGTTCTAACAGCTGCTCATTGCTTTAACAATCGCTACAAAGAGCCAAGAATGGTGCGGTTTGGTACAACAAATTCGAATCAGGAGCAACTGATGAATGCAGTTTATGGCGAAATAGACGTAAATGAATAATATATTTATAATGTTATATAATATTTAAACAAATAAGAAATGTTTAAATATTTTTAAAATTTTTTTTATTGTGTGCAGGTAGTACACGTACATCCAAAATATGTATTCAGCAGTTCATTTTACAACATTGCCATTGTTGAACTTAAAAATCCAATATTAAATACCAAATATGTATATCCAATATGTTTAAAAACAATGTATGATGATTCGATGGATTTGAAGCTGATGATGTCATACTGGGAAACTGTAACGATTTCAAGTAAATATTATTTGCTTATTACCTTTTCGCATTTTTTTATTTTATAGTTTTTAATTACATATATCTTTTATTATATAGATACAACTGTTACGTTCTTGGTTAAGGCTAATCAAGAGAAGATATCTTTAAATAGTTGTGAAAATAGTTACATCATAAATGGTGTACCTAATCACATGAAACAAGATTTGCAAAATACACAAATATGCACAAAATTCAAAATTCCTGAACAAGAATATTACATTAGTTCCAATGGTGATCCATTGTTGACATTGGACTCAAATGATAATTATCGGATACTTGGCATATTTTCTGGTGCAAGCTACTATAACTCGACACGTTCTATTACTAATTTATTTACACGGATTGACGCATGTTTAGATTTTATTGAACATATAGTCTGGCCGGAGGAATCATTTTCCAGTCAGACTGTATACTGGTTTTCTGGTTAATTCTGATTGTATGCTGCCGGATTACAATCCTGCAAGTATAAGTAATTTTATATAGGTTTTTATTTGTATTTAAATTAGATTTAGTATTATATTAGATTTAGTTTTTTAATTATAAGTAACGAATTGAAATAAGTTATGAATTTTTAAACAATAAAAAATTAATTTTATTTGAATTCATTTTTAAATTTTGATCTGCTGTATCCGTTCGTTATTAGTAAATACAAGACCTTCTGTGTTCGAAAAGCATCTTTTTAGTTAGGATAGGTTGCTGGCATATGCTATGGCTAAAGTATTTTCTTTTATTTCAGTAAATATAACTGATACAAAAAATCTCTTTTCTAAATATGTCCAATTAAATGTATGTATGCAGTGCACAAGCAGGTGGGGCTATCAAATAAAACATTGAAAAATTTAGAATCAAATTTCTTTTATCGCCATAAAGTGAAACTCATCGAGTGTAAAGCAATTTCATCCATACATTTTTTTGTAGATCAATTAAAGTAAGGTCTTTAAAATTTAATATTAACATATATTTTATGGCTACAGTTAACTCCAAATACTTTTTTTGTTGGTATTTCTTTAGAAACTTTAGCTCTAGAAGTCAATCACAGTTACAAGAAACGATATCAAGTGAGTATGATACCTGGTCTTTGAATTGATCACAGTTAAAAGAAGCGATATCAAGTGAGTCTTGAATAAATGTGTTAACTATTTTTATTTGGTTTATTTGGTTTTATAATTGTTTTTGCCGTATTACGGAAAGCTAAGGGAGCTGGATAGTGTATGAAATTTCAATTGAAGTCTTTAAGACAATGCTTACTAAAAGTGTGTTCTACTAATATTTTTTTTTACTAACTTTTGACAATTGATAATTATATTGAAAAAATGAAATAAAATCGATCAAATGAAATATATATATATTAATTATTGAAACATTATGGTGTCAAAAAAACTCGAAAAATACTTAGACGTAGATAATTAGAAACATGTACTACATTTCTATACCAATAGAATTAAATTAATTAATAACACTAATGGTAGTGTTCAAAAAAATTATACATTACTTATAATTGTAGAGCTTTGAAGGGAACCCTAAATTTACTTAAATTACCTTATATAATATTAACAATATCTATAATTAATTGTATCGAAAGTTAGTGTTTGTTGTTGTTTATATTATTTTTATCTTATCGTCCGAAGTCACGTGTACTAATATCCGTTTGCAACAGGCGAATTTTAATTTGAGTAGATACTCGTAAATTTTTCATTAAAAGTTAGAAGCAACATGTGTTTAAGCACGCAAAACCATGTAAGTATATTGGAACCATAAAAATAATGCACTCTAAACCTTTGATGGCAAAGCGATACTGTTGTTTGTGACGACGTAAAATACATAACAAACTCGTAGAAAATAAAAACAAATGTTACTGTTGAACGCCTATGCGCATGCTACGGTTTTTTATTCTTAGGAGTACAGAGTGAATAAGCTTTGTTATAAGGTGACCAGCTATTATCAAAAAAATGTTTTGAATCAAATGCCGGCAGTTGAAAAGCTTTAGATTTCAGTTTTTAAAGTTGTTGCATGATGGAAGTATCTTCAGTTTGTTTTGATGTTTCGTGCACATTAGTTCGGAATAATAATAAAAAATACAAATATTCAAATATATTCAATATTAAATTTAATTACTTTTAAATTAAAGCATCTGTGCATGTAATACAAAAAGTATAAAAATATATTTAAAAAAAAATTAAACTTAAATTATTGTTATCTGCACAAAAATAAATTTTTATTACTAAAAATATTTTTTAATTAATAATTAATTTTGCCTCCGCCCAAAAATATGCAGTTTTAATTAAAACATATTGCATTGGTTAATGAAGTTGCAGTTTTTGTTATCTTTTGGTGAAAAAAAAAAATGAATTCTAAAATAATTAAATAGTAAAAAAACATATTTTATCAAGTGTAATACGTAAACAAATTAACAGATAAATAGTCGGAACTTATACACCTGCTTTGGTATTTTATACCAAATTGCAGTCTATTTTGCGGTTTCTGTTGTTCTGTAAATATTTTGCTGATATTTGGAAACTGAATGTTTTGTGACATGTAAGTTCAGCTATTGAATATTTTGTGAGATTTCAAACATGTGTGTTATATGTAGTATATATTTAATTATGGTCTAGACTCTAGAGTTCATTAGGCACACAAAAAAAATATTTTAATTCATTTGAATTTAACAATAAATACATTCTGGAATATAAACACCTTAGACGAAATAGATAGAAAGATAACTTTGTGACCGATTTTACATACACCGTCTAAGGGTTCGTTATCGGTAAAACACAAATTTTAAATTTATAAAATTTTTCGTTATAATTTTAATTGTATAAAATTTAATTCACTTAGATATTTCAATCTATATTTCCATTCACAATCGGAAGGAATTTATAATATGTGAATAACACAATTGAATATATATTTTGTATATATGTATTAAAAATTAATGTGTTCATATATACACAATTTTTATTTATATTGCAATTTTAAATATTTACTATTTTAATAAAATATTTAATAATAATTCTGTTTTTAGAATTATTTTATATTTAAAATATGTTTAGACCGGGTAAACGGTTAGTTTCAGTCATTCTTATTATTATAGATTTTGGTTGCTTCTATCAATTCTGAAAATTTTATTGGAATGACTTTTAAAAAAATTTACAAAAATATTTTGTAGACAAGTTCTTAAGCCAAATAGCTTAACCAAAGCTAACTAAGAGTACTATTAAGGTTCTTTATTTATTGAAAATTTTTTGAATATTAATATTTAATATAATTATTTTGAATATTAATATTTGGAATTCTAACAGCTTGCTGCCCACATTTGACTTATAGCTATAATAAAGGAACGATGTATATTATTTTTATACTCTTTTCAATATAACAACAAAATAAAAATGGATTTGTAAATTGGATATTGAAATTCTTTGACTTGTTCCTGTATATCAAATACCTAGAAATTTTAATATTCAGTAACGCTTCCCACTAATGGATCAAAATAAACCCATATTTTATATTCATTTCAAATTTTTAAATTTTATAAAATATATTTACGTAAATAGGAGATTTTCTGTACATTGTGATGATTATATTTGTAACAAGTATATTATGAAATATATAGTTTGGACAATCCAAAAAGTATGTTTTCTTTAATCTCTCCAAAGCTGAAATTTTGTATTTAAAGTCCAAATATTACTAATTGTGGATAATTTAATATGGTATTTTTAACATTTTTGAACAGCTTATTAGCAAAAAAGTTTTCAAAATTATTTTTCCGTTTTCAGAGTGCTGTTAACTGGCACTATTATTTCAATACTATTAACTAGTATTATAACTGTTGCATGCATAAATAAAGGAAGAGGTTTTAATTTGTTGTTAATATGAAATAAATTAAATTAACTTAATATTTATGTTTATTGATATATATATATAATTTTATAAGTAAGTCCAAATTACAATTTCTTGCAATTTCATCAAGACAAACAATTACAGTTATAGTATTTAAAATTTGTGTTTTTAAAATTACAAAGATACCGATTTCGTGAAATAAAAGCGTTTAAGAAAGTCCTTCACTGTACACCAAAAATAATTTTATAGAAAATTTATATGAAAATAAAATATTAATCAACTTTATTACATTACAAAAAAAAAATAAACTTAATAATTAGACAAGTACACACCTTTGTTTGGATGTTTCATTTCTTGTACACCAAAAGGATAAACACTTGCTTATGTATGTATATAATGCAAAGGAGAAGAATGGAATTTATTACGACAACCTATATCCTGTAAAAACATTTACTAGGGAGTGTACATAGGTAAATTCTTTTTGCCTTAATAATTCGCATTCTTATATAAATACTCAAATAAACAGTGCATTTGTTGAATTAATATAAAATTAATGATTCTGTGTCAACAAAAAGTGCATTTTACTACGATAAATAATTAATACATAATAAATATTTAGAAATTCAAAAAAAAAATATAATAAAATGTATCAGTAACCAATTTATGTTTTAAGCAAAATGTTAATATAACGCTTTACATCCTTCACTAAAGTAAAAAATTCAGATACTAAAAAAGTCTTTAAAAAGATGAACATTTTAAATTTTAATGTTTTAGTTAAATAAAGTTAAAAAAAACTACTAATATTAAACTAATTTAATATCAATTAATATAATTAAAATTTAATAATTTAATAATAATACTTAATATCACTTAAGAAGTAAATACTATCAATTCAGTTATGCATAGAGTCAGTGGTATACCTAGCTCAAAGAGTTATCAACACATTGTAGTAGTCAATAGTCAAAGTGCTAATTATTAATATTACAGCAAAATTAAAAAAATTTTAATAAATAAATAGAAATATGCCAGCTAAAAGCACTAAAAACCTTGAACAATAATTTCGTAAACAATTTTTATAGACAAACTGTGTATAAACGTTCCTTGAGTTGGGGGTGCTAATGTTTTTATATCTCACTTACGAGTATTAAAGATTTGAGAAATTAAAAAATGTTCGTAAAACAATATCCATTTAAAAATAGTGAACGTGTTTTCACTACTATGTATTGTGTTGCGTACAAAGTACTGTGACCAAGCGATTTTACGGCATGGCCTCTATAACTCCAAAATAACTTATTTAAATTTAATCATGTCTGATTGACCTCAAGAACTCAAGAATATTTGATGGATTTAGTATTATTTAATTTTTTTTCCTGGTAATGTGTATATATCCAGCTATTCTGTTGATTATGCATAAGTGCGTCGAACCCTCATACTGACTATGGTGGCTCAAGTTTTTCATCACTTCAGCCTATTGAGATTAGTTAAAAGTTCTATTAGTATTTTTCATATTTTTTGCTTTAGACTTATCTATTGACAATCTTATTATTTGCTTAATCTATAATCCTATAATAATATTAAATTTTTAATAAATGTTAATCAGTTATTTCTGCTATGTTCCATTATTAAATCTTTTATAATTCAAAAAATTCATTCAACAAT